ACAAGAAAAAGATATAAAAGATAATTATACTAACTAAAAATAGAATTCCAATTTATTAAATATAAAAAGTAGAAAAATAAAGAAGAAAAAGTATAAATATCTATTAACTATTAACTTTAAAGTAATTTTGTAGTTTCTACTTAATCTCAAAAATTAATTTGTATAATATGAAATTCACAAACTTATTGTTTAGAACTCCACAAAATATGAAACAAGAAATCAAAAATAATCAGACATACAAAAATTGGATTTATATTAAACATAATATATTTTGAAAAATAAAATATTAATTAAAATTTTTGCTATTATATTATAAAATTTATTATTTATTATATTTTTTAATTATTAGAAACTTCAATATTTATCAAGTAATTATTTCTGATTAAATTTTAGTTTGTTTAAGTATATATTGAATTATATCAAAAAACTTTTAAATAAATAATATAAAAGTTGGACTATTCAAATTATTAAACTTAAAATAATAAAAAATGTATTTATTATAATATATATAATTACTAATAATCTGTAAAATATAATAAAAGTAATTATTTTTGTACTTGATAACTTTTATAATATATAATTAAATATTAATAATTAATATTTATTACAAATTTTTTAAAATGTGCTTGACTATTTATAAAAAATCTTTTATATATGAATTATATGATATTATAGTTCAGAATTATTCTTAATTCTTAATTTCTTAATCTTAATTATGTGATTAAATATAGATTCTAGAGATAGTAAAAATAGTAAAGTTCTTAAATATATTAATATTATCTACTATTATAATCAGATTCTTGTTGGGTATTATTGTAATATAGATATTTAATCAATATTTATTAATAACAGTAATTTTATGTTTACTCAATCTTATCATAATAAGTATACTCTAAGATCATCACACAGTGTGTTTTCTTCTATTAGTTAGATAGACTCTATTACTGATAAATGTTATATCTACTTAGTGTATAATAGTTTTATAGTAATATAGTACTAATATTTTATAATGACTTGATGATTGTTTAATAGTATATAATAAATATAAGTATTTAATATAAGATTATTTAAATATATAAATTTTATTAACAATAAATAATAAACAGTTTATTGACTAGCTAGATTTTTGTAGTGATCAATTGATATCTTTTTTAAAGTTCCAATTGTGTTTTATTTATAATAAATATTTTTTACTAATTAATATTATATTTAATTTAATTATGATAAAGATAATATATATAATAAATATAATATAGATAATAGATAGAGTATTTTAGCTAAATTTAATAAATATAGTAAATATAGTAAAGATAGTATTCACAGAATATTTGAAATATTTTTTAAAGCATTAAAATTCTATTTGTAATATCATTTTAGCATATTTATCTAATATGTATAATATATCTTATATTATAATAATTAAATTATAAAAATATTTTATATAAATAAAGAATCTTTTGGATAAATCAAAAGATATCAATTAATTAATACAAAATTTAGCTAGTCAATAAATTATTTCTTGTTTATTGTTTAATAAAATTGTATATTAATTGATTTTATAATTAATATTGTTATAATACTTATTTTTATTATATACTACTGAATACTCAATCAAGTTACTATAAAATATTAAATAAATATAAAATGAAGATATTTATTAGTAATAATGATATTTTATTCTATTTTAATAAAATAAAAGAAGTCACATTGCACACTGATTCTAATGCAATTGGATTAAAATTAGTAAATAATAAGAAATTATAACAAATATTAGTTGAATATTCATATTATGAGATTACTTATCTGAGTTTGAAACTTGTAATAGCAATCAATTTAAGATATTATATACTCTCAAAAACAAATTATTCTTAAAAAAAGATAATTTATTTTTGAAAATATATAATAATTAATTAGTTTTAATATATATCAATTTTTAATATAGACACTCATTATTAATTAATATTATAAATTTATTAATTTTTTATTTATTATTCTCTAAGTAACTTATAACTATTAAAACTTTATGCATGATATTATTATATAGTATTAATTATTCAAGAATATGAAATTATAAATAATATAATTATAAAATCCTATATAAAAATTATATTAAATAATTTTATTAGATATCTAATAAAAAAATATTATTACAAAATTTTAAAATAAATTAATAATCAATTATTAATTGAAAATTAATTATTATTAATTAGAAAAAATTAATAATAATTAATTAATATCAATGATAATTATTAATTAATACTAATTTTGATTATTAATTATTAATTATATTTACTAATTGATAATAATAATTAATTACAAATAATAGTAATTAATTATTATCAATTTTTAATTGATATTAATAATAAATATTAATTAATACTAATTTAATTAATAATTATTAATTATATTCACTAATTGATTGTTAATAATAATTGATTATTTTTAATTTTTGTTAACAATTGATTAATATATAAGATGGAGTTAATAAAAAAGAAACAAATTAATAAATTTATAATTTTTCAATAATTGAATTTTTAATTCCAGTCATTATTAATTAATTTATATAAAATGAAAACTTTAAGAAATTAAATCTAATTTTTTTATTATGAAAATAAGTGTTCACAATTATACAAAATATGATTTATATATTTATATTAATATATTGAATACAAAAACTCATTTTTGAAAAAAAATTGATTTGTTCCTTTTTTTACTGACTTTCTCTCATAATATATTAATCAATTACTGTTATTGATAGTTAATCTATATATATATATAATATAACATAAATCATATAATCAGATTGTGATTGGCAAATTACACATTATACTTATAAATATAGATATTATATATATTTTGCATTCACTTATTTATAACTTATTTATTTATTTGATGTAATATATCTATTTCATGATGATTAATAACTATTTTTTGTCAATATATTTTCATAATTTTCATGGAAGTTTTCGATTTTTTCTGTAATGTAAAATACAATATAAAAGATTGTTACTATATACTATTAAATTTAATGAAGCATATTCAGATTTAATTCATCAATTGCCTCTCTCCCTCGTGTGAAGCTTGGACACATCTCCTTTCAAGAAAAAAGAATCCAATGACTGAAGAAGAAGCTAGTACCATAAATCCCATAATCGAGTTATTTTTAAGATAGATATAAAAAAATTAAAGTTAAAGTACCGAAGACGAAGTTGGCCACTCAAACATTCATTATATAGCCAATCGTGCCTGCTACAACTGCTATTAGTAACACAAATACGGATTAATCAAGATCATGTTTTGATAGTAATTAATCATCCAAATTCTGGATATTACAGTATTAGCAATGTTAGCAGAGTACAAAGCTCTATTACGACAGCGTGAGTAGATAATTATGTTCAACTGGTACTTCTTTTTGCTAACCTCCCAGTTATTAATGTCAGAACCGATGACATTATTTCAAAACAAAAAATGCCGGATTATACCTATGGTGGAAGGAAGGAAATATTCACCCAGAAGCAAAGTGGGAAGAAGCTACGTAAGTTTTTTCATGGTGGGCTGGTTATATATGAGCAAGACTAATTTTGGCTGATTACAACAAGGCTTCCATACGTGCTCGCTGAGGACGTGACTTTGAACGAGTACGAACATCGCACTGACGAGTTTAACGTTCATGGTTTATGGGAATGGACAAATTATAAAGTCTCGGTTTATGAACTTTCATGAACACTGCATTGGCGCGATTATTAAGTATATTATTAAGGGCTGTAGTGATGTTGACGATACCGATTCCAGAATTATGAGCTGTGGATCAACTCGTAAGCATCAATCAATTAACTATCTCAGTCCTATTCATGGTATCAAATTAATTTTATTTCTTTTAAAGGAACTCGTGCTGATGGTTGTGGAAAAGAGGCTGACGCACCATTTCGTCCAAAGAAATCAGGAGTGCCTGCACCAACCGGAAGTGATGGAAAGGTATTTTTATTTTTTATTGGTTCGAAATCCTTTAACATTATAACTTACATTTCATGATTTTAGAGGAAACCGTGGATTATTGTAGAAGTCGCATTTTCTGAAAGTATAGATCACGTGTTAAATAAGGTCAAAAATTATTGGTTAAAGGATCTAAGTCGCGCACATGACGCAATAATTGTTAAAATCGATTTGGTTTCTGAGGACGAAGCACCTTCACGCATGCAAGTAAGTAATACTTCTTAAAGTGTAAGTGATGTTTTATTGCTTGTATATCATTCTAAAGAATAAACCCATGTAGGCGTGGCACTTTTGCTCCACAGACAGAAGAATACGAAGAGGAAACATTCAACATCGAACTCACGTTATGTCGAATATAGGATAAATTATCTTTTCTTTCTACCAATTTTCAAAATTTTTTAATATGGATGGTTTTTATTATTAGTTTGAGTTTGGAACTCATGATGGCGCCGGGAAACCGTTGAATATTTGCAGGGCACATGCCTCATCAAAATTGATTTGGATTGTCTCTACCATCAAGCACATCCTGATATTGAAATTCCACGAACCATTCTTGCTGATCCCATTGTACTGGATTTCTTCTTTGTCAGAAATGAAATTCTCTTTGCATTTGAAGAATAATAATTATGTAGAAATGCACGTGCAATAAAAAATGAATCAGGTCATAATTTATCTGAATATTATCATAAAAAATATTAACAAATTAAGATAAATTCAGAATAATAAATAAAAATTGTTAGTTTGCCCGAATTTGTTTATCGCGTGTACCGAAAAACAAGAGATTTATTTAACAATGTGTTCGTGTAACTGGCATTATGCAAAAAGTTTCTAATAATTGTACATGCAATGATCACAGAACATTTAAAGTTATAATCTACCCGATGAGACCCAATTCTCGAAGATGCTCTGGAATAATTATATATGGGTCTTCGTAATACCAAACATACCTTAAAACAATCCAGTTTTCTTCGCATAATTCTTTCTTGAGTTGATCCCGCTCTTGCTGTTTGATAAAATCATTGGGATCTCTATGAAAGAATTTAATATATTTTTCATGTTGTTTCCCTTGTACCTCGATAGCAAATCCATATTCTGGATAATAAATATCTAGTTCTAATTTCTTTCATTGGATGTTCAGGAGTTTTCATGAATTCTGGTCTACGTATTTTAGATGGTGGTTTTCCTAAATATTTTGTAACAATTTCTCGACAAAGTTTTTCTTGTTTATTTTTACAATATGGACACCAATTCTGAGACATTCTCCATTTCGGGTAAAAGCAACTTGTTTAGCATCTTCGATAGTGAGACGAGCCACTTTTGCTCAATGTGGACACCATGAATTTCGATATTTAATACTACTAAATGATGCAAACCATTTATGTTTCTTATTACATATCCATTGCATTGGAGTTGCAGTATCGATATATTTTGTAGAAAGACATTCCCCAAGTCTAGATAATGCAATCTGCTTAGCAACTTCAAGATTAAGTTTTGTTTTACCCGCACAAACAGGACACCACGAATTCATATTTTTTATATAGCTAAAACAAGCCTGCCATTTATGTCCTTTATGACATTGCCACAATAGAGGCGAACTATTAGTAATATATTTTATAGACATACATTCTCCATTTTTGGTTTGAGCAAATCTCTTTACATCTTCAAGAATAAATTTGCCATGCCTACACCACGGACACCAATTACCATTATTTTTTATTCTAGTTAATGAATTACTAAATAAATGTCCTTTATCACATTTTCATTGAATTAGAATTTGACTATTGATATATTCAGTTGAAAGACACTCTCCATTTAGATCAAACGCAATTTGTTTAGCAAGTTCAAGATTAGGTTTTATAATACCTGTACATTCCGGGCACCATCTTCCAGAATATTTAATACCTTTAAGTGGTGCACTCAATATATGATTTTCAGAACAACGCCATAATAATGGAATTTTATGATTTTTATATTTAGTTGAAAGACATTCTCCATGTTTAGATAAGGCAATTTGTTTCACATCACTTAAAGATAATTTTTTCATTTCGAATGAGTAACTTTTTAATAAATAACGATAACAAATATTTTTTAATATGGAAAAGTCATTTATGCAAGAAGTAAATAGAGAACACGTGGAACGAGTTAAAGCTAATCAGAAATTGCGTTGTGAGATAGAGCAACAAAAAATACAATTGCAAGAGGCGGAAAAAATTCTTGCATCTTTGAAGTCCCAATAATGAGTGGTGAGTATATTATATTTTTTATCGGAATAGACATATATGAAAATGTTTATTCTAAATTCGAGTAAGGAAAAGGTAAATATGGCATAGTTACTTTATGTCTGTTTTTCCTATTTCCAAATCCTGTAAAATTAGGCTTTGATTCGATATCAGCAAAGTTGTATAGAAGCACATTTTTATTTTTCCTATTTCGATTTTTTTGTATATGTCTATATATATAATAAATAATAATTAGTATCGCTACTATAACAAGAATATGTATTTAAAAATATCAATGAATAAAATTTTATAAAGCTTGTATTCAATTAATTTTAATTAATAAAATTAATTAAATAATGTTCAATTAAATTATAATATGAATTATTCAATAAATATAACTAAATAATAATTAAAATTTTTATACTATAATAAATTTCTCTGTTAAAATTTTACTTTATAAAATAAAATAAAAATAAAATAAAATAAATATAAAATTTAAAATATAAAAAATATAAAATATATTTAATTTTTCTTGTTGCTAATTAATATTGGTTATATTTGTACTCATTTAAAAGTTTATATTAGTAACAAGAATATAATAAATGATAAAAAAATAAAAGAGATTTTTTCTATTTTTTATTAAGTATTTTTCTTTATAAAAATATTATTTAAATTTGTAATTTTTATTAGTAATTTAAACTAAAATATTTAGCAGCAAATAATCTGTAAAAAATTTAAAATATTTTAAAAATTATATAATAATTCAAAATTTGCAATATTTAGAATTTTGAAAAATACTTTAGTTTAAATTATTAGTTTTTATTACAGATATGATAATATAAAATTTAATCAGTTCTAAAATAATTAATATTTTAGTTTAGCAATTTATTTTTTGAATTATATTTATAAAAGATTTCAATATAAAAATATAATATAGAACTTATTAATATAATCTATATAAAAATATGAATTTAAAAAACAAAATAAATTGAACTTATTAATATAATTAACAAACAAAAATATATAATATAAAACTTATTATAATTTATATAAAAAATATAATATAAAATTTATTAATACAACTTATAAACAAAATTTTTTTAAAAACTTAAAATATTAATAATATATTTAATTGTTTATCAAGTCAAAAATTATAATAATATTAATAATATAATTGATTATTGCTAATTTAGAGATTGTAATATAATTACAATATATAATTAAACTTTTTCATAATCATATCTATTTATAATCATATTTTCTATTCATTTTATCTTGCTTTTCTATTTATATATAAATATATATAGTAAAAAAAAATTACTCTATAAATAATACTTTTATAGTTATCAAATTTTGCTATTAAATTATAATATTATACAAAATAAAAAAAATTTTAATAAAAAATATTTGGTAAGAATTCTTAATTAAGAATTTTCTAAGTTAAAAAATTCAAGTTCTTTTTTTAAATAAAAAAACTAAAATAAAAAAATTTACAAATATTATTATAATTATAATTATTATATTAATTTTATTATAATTATTTTGCTAATTTTATTATAATTATTATACTAATTTTGTTATATTCTATTATTTAAAAATATTAACAAATAAAATTTTATAAAAAAATTAATTTAATTATAATAATTTTAATATTAATCAATTACATATTCAGAATCTTAATTCTAACTTTAACTTAGATTCTAATTAATAATTATTACAAATATATTTATTTATATTAAAATATAATATTAATTTTAATAATAATTTTTTCAAATTATAAATTAATAAGCTTAAAATCATTAATTATATGAATTATAAATTAATTTGAACAATTTATTAAAAAATTAATAAATAAAAATAATAAAAACATAACTTTAAAATTAATAAATCTCTTTTTTGTATATTGACTTGAAATTTGAGTTGAAAATTATAATATTTAAAAAGATATATTATTTGCATTTGATTTTTTTTATAGTTAGCAAATATCAATTATATAATAATTATAATTCACTATCTTTTAAATATTCTAAGTTTAAAAAAAATGTACATCATCTGTTAAAAATATATATAATTATGCATTAAAAGTTTTGTATAATTAAATATTTTTTATAATTTTATAAAATTTTTTTTAAAAAATGAAATTTCTTGAATTTTTTGGTGATTGGTTTTGTACTTGATATTTATAATTAAAATACTTTCCATATTGTACTACATGTAATATAATTAAAATTTTAAGAAATAACATTTTTTAAAAAAAATTTTTTTTTAATTATTTTATTAATTAATATTAAATAAAATCAAATTTAATAATATTAAAGTATCTAATAACTTTTTGTATATAAAAATATTTAATTATATAATTTTATGCATTTTCAAATTGTATTATATATAATACAAAGATCTAAATTCAATCTATTAAATTTGTAAAACAAAATATATCAGAAATGTTATAAATCAAGAAAATTTAAATTGCAAATTAGAACTGCTCAAAAAAATTAAATTATTGGTGAATTTCTTGATGATTTCGATATCAACAAGTTCTCATGCAATCAATCAAAGAAAAGAAGTTCTCTGAAAACTTGTATCAGAATTATTATATTCATTTATTAGAATTTGATAGTAAGAATAATATATTTGAAGCTATCTATCCAAAAAAATTGAATCCTTTGGGAATTGAGCAGTTATGCAAATGCTATGCCAAGAGAATATGGGTCTGTCTGAAGTATTAAAATGTAAAACACAAAATAAAAAGGTCAACATGCATTGGATATTCTAAAACAATGATAAAAAACATAAATATTGTTAGGAAAATGTGCAAAAGCTGACAAGAAAGAAAAGATGGCAATAATCCCAAAAATATTACAAATTGCCTCAAAATCAATTGCATTCTCTTCAAACACGAAGTTTGATTCCATTTGTTGTCAGAAAGCAAAAAAGGATTAGTACAGAAAAAGAAAGTAAAAAATAATTTTGAACATATAACGATAATGATTGACGTAAATATCGAGTTAAATGTAAATCAAATAAGGCTCGTCAATCAATTGATCTATTAATTACGTATTATAGACCAAAACCGATATTTTGCTCATAATCAAACCAAGAGGTTTTATTCTTTGTGCAAGTACTTTATTATTTAACTCGGATAAGTGTAAAAAACCAAGTCAACTTTCAGTTGCGAAAACTATATCACGATAAACAAAATATTAGAAAATCCTGCAGTCAAATGATTTTCATTAGTACTACTAAAATTTGTTACGATTTTGACCAAATGATCAAGACAATCAAGACATGCTATTTGATTTAGAAAAACATTTTTTTTTATCATCAATATCGTCAGTGGAACTAACCAATTATAAAGAACCTATTGGTAATAATACTACTAAAAGCTAAATGGATACGTGTATAAATCAATGAAAAGAACCTGATGAGAACTAAAAATCTCGGGGGGAATTTTGTAGAAGTATTAATAGTAGTATTAAAGTGTAAGTATATAATAAGAGATAATCAAACAATAATAAAATTGTTCGTTCGTGTAAAAAAAGCAAAGGGAAGTGCGTGAGATATTTTTCAAGATAATGATGATTGATGATAGTAGTAATATAAGAATAAGAAAAAAAAAACGAAACATTTTAGGTGTTCATTAAGTACTATTATATGTAAGTGATGGTGTGTATGTGTATTTATGTATATGTGTATGTATATGTAATGTATAAAATTTATGTATGTATATAGCAAAAAAGAAGATATATACTAAAAAGGGAAGAGAAAAAACCCAAGATAATGATGATGTGAAGAGAAGGAAATAATAGAAAAGATAGAGTATATACTAATTATAAGAGGAGAGGCACAAACTATGCTTATTGACATGCGTGGTAATCCAAAGAACAAAGTAGTTGTTGATAATTATGAACAAGATGAATCTGAAGATGATAATTATTTTGATTTTGATCGAATTTGTGACTTATTTTTTATTCTTCTTCGCTATCGCCATCATTCACATCAGACATCACAATATCTCCATCACCATTAGCACTTCCATCGTTACTACTACTTCGTTCCTCAGCGTCACGTGGTGTTGGCGTCTGCGCAACACTGGCGTTATTTGCACTTGTAGAAGCAGAGATACCATTTGTCGCACCACTGCCACTAGCTTTTCCATTCGTTGTTGCCGTCGTTGTAGAAGCAGTACCAGCTCCACGGGCTCCGCCGCGTTTACGACCACCGTTATTTCGCGTTTTCATCACCTCGAAATTTTGCGTGGTGTATTTTTTACAACGTGTTGCGTTGGGTAGGTCTTGAATCATTTTACGGATTGTCGCCTGTGAGAAACCAAAGTAGTCGGGACCGGATGCGGAGTTTGAGTGATCGCGATGACGAATGGCATTTGCTTCGCGAACTACTGTTGTCCAGGCGCCGGTTGCTGTGTTTGCTGTGATTGGCTTGCCTGGTTGATCTTCGGCCTCGATCACAAACTATAATTATTGATAAAATTAAAATTATGCTTTAGGATAGGTAATTTATAGTTGTTGATTAAAATAAAAAAGTCTTACTTACCCTTGGACCTTCACCTCCATCTTCAATTTTGCATGTGTACATTGTTTGTGCATCTGGATTTATCATACTATTATATGATCTGTCGTCGAATGTGATAAATTAATATCGATAATATAACTTAGTATCGACAATATAACATCAATCAGAATTCTTACCGTTTAACAGCATAGCCCACCGGCCAAATATATCTCTCGTTATGAAACGTCTCACGATCATACACCACTGTGCCCAAACTAATCACTGTCAATATCCCAATCTGTACTGGCAACAAATAATTTCCACGGTCATCTTTCGCCACATGCTGAACTTTCATAGTTTTCGTGTTTAACGGGCGTTTACTCGCGCGTTTTTGTGGCACAACTTTAGCGGGCGGCGTGTGAGTTATGGGGACTGTGTTTACGATATTGTTTGCTGGTGCGGGCGGAACTAGTTGTTGCTGTTGTTGTTGCTGCTGCTGTCGTTGTTGTTTGCTTTGTGATGTGGATGTTGCTGCGAGTGCTGTGGGGTGTGCGTTGGTAGATATGACGTTGGTGGTGCGTGGACGACCCGTTTTCTTTACGGCAGTGCGAATTGATGGGACTGATGATGCGCGTGAATTTGCTTGTGAGGATACTGTATCGTTTTGTTATTCATAATTAGTATATATATCAAATACAATAGTATAGCACAAAAAAACGCGTGACGTAATAACGTAATTAACTCACCTTCTGAATCGCTAGATTCAATAGAAGAAAGATTCACCGATTTCTCGGAATCTGAAGAATCTGTACCTTCAAATTGACTAATACGATCAAGAAGCATGCTATGATCATTTATTAAACGGAAAATGTCAATATTATCGCCAATAGAAATATTATAAAGGAATAAGTATAAAAAAACACGTACTCTTTTTCGCGTTTTAATGTCTTAATACGCTTACGCGCACGATCAAGTTCTGCATTTACTTTTTCGTTTTCCTGTATTTTATAAGAATTAGTAAATAATGTCTAGATTTCCTTGGGTGTATAGATGTTATCCATTCTTCATTGATTTCAGGAACTAACATTGCATCTCTGTATCCATCTGAACTTCTCCATTCAGCCAACATCAATTCGAAATCCCCATCATAAAACAAGATGTTATTGTTGGAAGTCAAAGAGCAAAAGGAACAATAAATTCGCCATAAATCTCAAGTTGTATCTCGAATGCAACATGTACATTTCTTTTCACTAATGACCAATTCCTATGGATCTCCATTACCACACGAATCATATAAACCCGGACTCAAAACGCGAATAGAGAAGAGCAATTCTTACCGCTTGCACCTCGCGTACTCGACGCTTTAGCTTCTGATAACGCTCTTGCGGGACTGTTTCCCCAGTAGAGGCGGCCTGTCGACGTGAGGTGTGTGAATGATTTTGCGCCATTTCTTCGAGACAAGTCGACTTTTGTTTTCAGAGATTAGGTACTTTTAAATGTAACTACTAATCAAAGTAGTTATTTATTATTTTTAAGTGCCAAACAATTACCACGAGGTAAAATATTTTTTATATAATAGACTAAATGCCGTTCGTGTGTCTTTGTAATTAGGGAGAGCAATAATGATCAAAAGAAAATTGTGTTTTGTTAATTAGGCAAAAGAGGAGGTTTGGTATTTGAGATGGTGGGAGAGTGTTTGTCGTAGTTTTATATACTGTGGGTGTGACTTGAAGGAGTTGCGGTCGTTTGTGGGAATGAGTCACAACACAAATCTTGTTTGCAGGTTTATGAAGAAAAAAAAGCAATAATAATAATAATAGTATTATTATTATGATTGTTATTATTATTATATGTAATATTATTATTAAAGTTTGGTGCGTGTGTGTGTATAATAATAAAATGTAATAATAAATGATGATATGTGTGAGAGTGTTTTGTGGATGGTAAAGAGACGACGGACGGGTCAAAGGCTCTTTTTATTATTATTGTGTATTATATATTATATTATTATTGTTTAAAATAATTATAGTAAAGAAGAAATACGCAAGAAGAAAATTTTTGTTGTTCTTTTTTTCTCTTGTCCTTCCTAACCAACCACTCGTTGTGACTATTATTATTATTATTAGTAGTAGTATCGCTTGTGGTAATAATTATATTATTTATTGATGATGGATGATAGATATCACCAACACAGCAAGCAGCGGCACCACATAAACCAAGTTTGGGGGCAAGTTGTTGTTATGATTAAAGTATTCGTGTGGTAGTCTTTGAAAGTAGTAGTTGCAAAAGTCGTCATCATTATGATTATTCATCGTAGTGGTGTTTGTCAATGAAATGTAATTTTTCCCGGCGTCTGTTGTTTGTCGTGGATATGTCTCTGTTCATGTCCGTAGTGTGTCTGTCTGTCTTTTCCTTTGTTTTTGTTTTTATTTAGTGAAGGGGCTTTTTATGACGAGCGGAGGTTTCGGAAGAAGAAGGGCTTGTCTCTTTCTGTGTGTCTGTCTGTATAGTATATCAGTGTGCGTGTGCGCTATAATTATTTTTACTGTAATATGTATATTTTATTTTATTTTTATTAATAATGTTGATGATTGTCTTTTTTTTAGCAAAAGCCTCCCGTCTCTCTTCTCAAACACACGCGCACACTACGTATTAGAGTTGATTTGATACGAGCATAGAATCAATAAATGCAATTTTATTATTTTTGTGCACACAAGATGAATACGTGTGACGCGAAAATTGGAAGAAATAGAGCGAGAGTTATTAGTTAGTCAATCCGCGAGGGGGGGTTCATTTTGTCATTATTGCCATATCTTTTCATACAAAGTATCTATAATGTGCATGTAGGGTGGCACAAAAAGTACACCATACGTACACACAAATACACACGCCCTCAATAAAAATACAAATAAACAAACACAAACACACAAGTATATTTTTTCTTTCATTTATGAATCAAGCGAGAAGCTGTGCTTTGGTTCCAAAGAAAAACATTAATAGTCCGATAAATCACCATTTTGATGTTTTTGGCATTGATAGATAAGGATCTATATTTTTTTTAGACTTTGGGCTAAAGAAGAGCTTGGATCGATCGGCAACGGATATTATTTTTTTACATGTTTCCGAATTTAATTTTGGATGCTGTCTTTATCTTCTGTCATCTCTTTGGGGAGGAAAATTTACCTTTAGAAAGACTTCATAGAATACAAAGTCGGCGACAACTTTTGGATCAATGACAATCAATTATTTATTTAACGTAACATAAAAACGCGGGCCACTGTACTTTTCACTCATAAATTGCTCCAAACAGACGAAATTAAATTGCCTTTATTATCACAAAAGGGATTGTCACAAAAACGAAACTTCAAATATGAAATGAGCATGTACAACATTCCTTTGGCCACGAATCAAGTTGGATTTTCTATATTATTAGCATTGGCATTTAGATAATTCGTTATCGTTATCATTGTAGGCAGACACAATTTATTTATATAATTTTCCAATGAGAGCATACAAATCACGTGATTATACCATTAAAACTGTATTTACAATTGCAATGCAATGCAATATAATATAATAGAATAGAATAGAATGGAATGATAATAATACAAATAATACAAAAATGAAAGATACTAACTAACCAGGAGCAACAATCGTTCTTGTTTGATTTCTTTCTTTGCTTTCTTTTTCTCCCCTAATTACAAGAAAGAAAGATTATGATCATACACCTTTTTTTTTTGCTTTTGTTTTTTACTTGGTGTTCTTTATGGCGTTTTTTTTATGTTCGTTTAATATTATCCTTATCAGTATTACTACTATTCATGGTTATTAGCATTACTATTCATGGTTATTAGCATTATTATTCATTGTCGTTATTATTAGCATTATCCATTATTATTAGCATTAATCATAATCATTATCCCCCTTCTTTCTTACCGCCTAAAGAAAAATAAAGGAAAAGAATAATTTATACTGTACTACAGTACATAATACTAGCGCTAGTCTAATTTTTGCAAATATATTGTTAGTATGGTTTGTTTGTCAAACAAAAAAGAAGTGTGCATGCGCAATTTTTTTGGTGTTCAGTTTTGCCCACCCTAGTTAACTATGAGACTAAAAAGAGCCACTGAGTGGTAAAGACAGATCGGGAAACGCCATTCCATTCATCCATTCATTCATTCATTAATGCTATAATGGAAGAAAATGAATCTTGCTAATGGGTACTACATGCAAATCTTTCGTGCAGAATTCCATTGGCTGAAAATTCACAATAAATGAACATCGAAAAATTTTCTCGAAACAGTCAAATTGTCAAAAGTTTTATCGATTTTTTCTTTTTTGGTTAAGAATCAAGGTGTTGTTTATTTTAGAGTGATTCGGGGTTTTAACGTTCGATAACTCTAAAGCTACGCACACTACACAGACACCATGAAGGAATACAACTTTTGCACATTGAATAAATAGGTGGGCGCATAGTGCGCACTGAACCATAGTTGGAAGGAAATATCCATCTATTGCCTTCTTTGCGTCTCTTGATCCACTACATTTAATTAATCACAAATGATTATTGATAATGTTTACAGTTAATATATTTTCAATCAGAACTGATGTTAATATACACATGTATCATCACCATCAATGCTATCATAAACAAACGGAACTTTTAGAATCAAATCTTTGACACGTTTCAACATGATCTCATTATTGCATCGAATCGAATCAGGCACATACGGGGGACTGATATGTGCTCGATCCATTATGTGGATTATTGGGTCCTCTGGTGTGTGGATCACTTGGATTCGATTCTTTTTTTTTTCAATAACTTTAGTTCAAGTATTAATCGTATATGATCCATTTGATTAAAAAATAATTACCGATTTCAAAAATGAAATGACATCCCGCTTACGCGCTTTCATTTTCTCTGAAGTATTGGCAAAATCGCGAACACGTGTAGTTATTAGCGAGTCTAGTTTCTCTTTGGAAATTGAATCTCGAGTTCCTCCTGTTTTTACTTTTGTTTTTTTTACATGTTATTTATGATAAACAGCAAAACAATAAAAATCATAATATAGCATATGTAAAATATACCTTCAAGAGATTCCACGATCGACTGCATAATTGCAAGGATCTTGAATTTTTTAGGTGGAGCATCCTTATCCTTATCCTTATCCTTATCCTCTTCTGATTCCTATTCATAAAAAATTGTAATTCTAGTTCTCATATTTAAAATCTTACAAAATTCACAAGAAGCAATAAAATACCTTTAGTAACAAGACAGTAAAAGTTACTGGATCTACGTTATAAAGAAATCCATCATCGATTATTTCGCCGTTTTTCAAGTGCACGATAACCTTTTGCCCTAGTGATGCTTCGATTTCTATGAAGGTGAGGCCGTACGGCGAGTTATCATTATCATTATTTGACATGGCTATCGATATCGGAAAGTGAAAAGATAATCATGATCTGCATTAAGTCAGGTGAAAATCTAAGGGAGATTATTTTTTTGACGCGAAACAACACAATGTTCATTCCACGAACGCCCAAAAACCCATCAACAATATTCCATTTCATTAAAAAATGTACCAAAACTACTACCAAAACCAACTCTAAGATATATTTTCTAGACCCTTTCAATTTTGATTCACTTTGTACTAATAATGGCAACGGAATTCACATTAATTCGCCTTGTGCTGTTAACAGTAGCAATAGAATTCACGTTAACAATAAGAAATATATACGTAGTTTTGTCACTGCTGCTACTGGTAGCTCTACAGCTCACTTGTACCCTGCTGTAACCACAAAAAAAAACCTTGAAAACAGAAAATGGGCAACTTACTTATTAACACTTATACCAATAATAACGTTCGGACTCGGGACGTGGCAAGTACAGCGCCTACGTTGGAAAATGGGGCTTATTAATGAAGCGCAGGAACGTACAGCGAAGCCGCCAATGAAGCTGCCAAAGAATATAAAGTATGGGATTTTTAACTTTCTATCTTCATTTTCAATGATCTTTCTTTTTACCAAGTTTAATATATCTATTTGTTACTAATCTCTATCAGTCTTGATGTCTTAGATGAACTATTGTATAGGCGTGTTTATGCGACTGGGCAGTTTCGTCACGATCAAGAGATGTTGTTGGGAATACGACATTACGATAATAAGCCGGGGTATCTCGTGATTACGCCGTTGGAACGGGAAAATGGGTATTTTGTTTCTTGTTTTTTGTTTTTATTAATGTTAGTTACATCGAGATAATAAAGCCGATGATTAATTAGGTCTACGGTTTTGGTTAAACGCGGCTGGATATCAAAAGAGAAGGCAGATCCTGCTATAAGGCCAAAGAGCCAAGTTTGTTTTTCTCTCTAAAATAATATATAGTTTTTTCCGAATTCATTGATGATTTACAATCTATCTAGGCAAAAGGAATTGTCTCGGTTGAAGGATTATTGAGAAAATCCGATAAGGTGAAAAATGGATTGCTAATGAAAAATTAGAGTTTCACACTAAATAAAATAAGCTTTTTTGCAAAAATACAGAAAAATTGGAATACCCCTGTAAACAACCCAGACAAAAATCAATGGCTCTGGACAGATCTGGAGATGATGGCTGAACGTACGGGGGCACAACCCGTGTTAATTGAGCAATCTCTAGGTAGTTGAATAAACTATAACAATTATAAGTTAATCGACAAATGACACTATTATACGGTTCATTTTTAGAGGTACCACACTACGCAACTAACACACTGATAGACGACGGAATTCCAATCGGGAAATTGCCACAAGTGGAGTTTCGGAATACTCATTTAGAGTATGCTATTACATGGTACTTAGTATTTATTTTTTTCATTTTATATTATTCTTAAATTTGATTCTTTTGAATGGTAATAAATTTTTGATTTTGCAATTATTAGGTACACACTCTCATTCGCCACTACTATCATGCTATACATACTTTTCAAGAAACCGCCGCCTGGACAAGTGAAACGTCAACAGATGAAAGGTTAATTAAATTAATTAATAATGAGGGGCAAAAAATATTAACTAGTTAATTGTACTCAATAACTGTATAAATAATTTTAAGCATAATATAAAGATTTATCAAACCGTCCTCGTTACCGTCAATCGGTCTCATTATACTATTGTTGTTGCGTATTGTGATTGAATATCTTGATTATTCCCAACACCTACTTCAGTGAGAGGCACGAAAATTTCTTGAAAGAAATTGGTTGCTTACTTTTATTTTCATGTGGCTTTATTTCTCTTTTGGACAGTATCTAAAGAAAATGAACGTGAACTTTACCGAGCCAAAAATTTAGAAGAAAATATACCAATACGAATAAAAAATAAATCCCATCAAAAAAACCGACCACACCTTTAATTTGTCAATCAATCAACTACTTCCAACTTGTTTCGGCTTGCACTCATTTTCAGACAACGGTCGTATGAACACAGAATCCGGCGGATGATCTTTCTCGCCCTCTTCGAACGTGTAGCTACTAGCGACTGCCAGCATACGACCATCACAACTAAAACTAAGACTTGCAACGCTAGACGGGTATGATGGGTACTGGCGGAGCCGTTTTTTGTTGAATCCATCCCAGATGTTGACTACACCGTCGGCGCCACCGGATGCAAAGGTACCGTGGCTTTTGAATATTGATTACATTAATTAATTAATTAATTACTTAATTTATTTATAAAAATAAGGGAATTGAAAAAATATTTACGTTGGATGAAAAGCTAAAGCATTTACAGGATACACCGTATCCACACCATCAATAACCTTTCGATGACACTTGAACGCATATTTACGAGCCTGTGATTTCGGTGACGGATCAAAGAATTCAACCGATACACGTCCTTCTATAGAACTACTCGCATAACCTATTATTATCTATTAGACAATATATAGACAACGACGGCGACCAGAAATCTCTCTCATCCTAGAAAACCAATAACAAAAAAATACCTTCTCCATTCGGCATGCACTTCACACACCGCGTCATATACTTTAAACTGCTCTCTCGCTTTTGAATCGCGTCTTTCATATTTCTTACATCATAAATAAAGACATGACGTCCCGCCATCGCGACAACCAGTTTGTGATTCATGACGTCGATTGCGAAAACTTTGCCCGGCTGTGTAAATGTTCCCCCGGCATCGGCATCTTTTGAACGAATGTCCCAGAGACGGATGGATTTGTCCCAGGATCCTGTTACTATCAGATCTTTTTTTATTGGTATAACATTAAGTGATCAGATCGGTAAGCATAATTAAATAATCAAGTAAAGGAAGATGAATGATGTTGTTCTTATTTTAAATACTTGGGCCGCATATGAAAAATACATACTATTTTCCTTGCTATATTCTACACATTTAACAGCTTCATCATGAGTTCCAAGAATCGTGTCATTCCCAGTATTAAAATCAAACCTAAAATATTGAAGTTGCGATTAAAAAGAATTGAATAAAATCATCCTTTTCAAAAAAATAACGTAAGTATCATTGTATACATTTTCAGCCGTTTATCCAAACCACCACTGAACGCGTGAGCTCCATCTGAGAAACAGCAATCCAGTGCTGGCGCCTTATGAGTATAACTTGTTTTGAGTGGTGTAGTATTATGAACGTCGTATAGTCTTACACTCTACAGATCAAATGTAACGTTGATAAATTGCCGAGAATGTTGCATATGTGCAAGCCAAGAATAAAGATTCCTACTTTGTCCCAAGAAGAAACCAGCAAAAGATCCGGATTTGTAGGGCTAAATACCACCGACGAAATGGCGTCAGCAGGCATATCATATAGTTCGTATTGCTGCATGCTGCCGAAATCTGTAATGTAAAAAGTCCAAGAATTCGATGTGTGTACAAGAAAACGAAAAAAAAACAATAATGTTTACCGGAACCAACTGCCGCGAATTTGCGTAATCCACGAATCAACGCGATCTGATTTGTCGATGATGAATTGTTGATATCATTGATACGGAACAATTGCGTGGCGCCGTTCCTCACCTCTTGGCCTCCAAGGGAAAAACAAATAATACCCACACCAGAACTGCTACCGCTCTTTGAGCAAATATCCGCTAAATAGCATATTCTTACCAATGACCACGGCCCCAACTCGTCAAACACGAAGTAGACGAGACCAAGCTGCCTTTTCTTTCCTATCGAATATCAGCCTTGGAACTGAGACTTCTTCAATCACAACTACAACTAACTCTTCTACTTTTGAGCCGACACATCGTCGGGTAACTACTGTTCCCGGCCAATTTCAGTCCGAAGAATTTGTTAAAAATGATGGCAGATTTGATAAAACACACGCTTCACAGAATGGTAGTATCCATTATAGCAATAATGGCAAAGAAAACAAAATCAGTAACACTGCTAAAAAACCAAGTTTGTCAATCGATATACCCGCAAAGATTGGAAAACCTACACACTTTCCCACGTCTTTTTCAACGTCTAAAGAACAATCATCTTACCAGGGAAATCCCGCCATAGATCTTTACGATAATAGTAATCATAAGAATAAGGATAATGACTTTAATGATCATAAAATTTCTCGTCAGAGAAGTAACAGTTTGCGTGACGATATAGCAGCTACAAATTTCTTGTCGATTATCAGCCTTGACCCGAAGGGAAATTCTAATATTGAAGATAATAATTACAAGAACACGGAAAAGATTAGTGAATATGAGCATCATATTCATCAAGGATTAATTGTTGATGTAGATACTGTTCTTAGTCCTAACGGTTCCACGCTTGGAACTATCGATGAACTGCTGGAGGATAATAATCATACGATGATGTTAAAAAATAATAAACGTCAAAATTCAGGTTGGTTTATGTTTATTGGCGAGAGAACAAGTTTAGTGAATCCGCCTATCATAATAAAATTTATCGAAATTTTTTCCAAACATATAATAACCTCTATAATAATAATGGTAATCTTTTTAAAAATAATAAAAATCATCAAAAAACTTTTATCACACTTGCAAATTTTATTTTTCATTTTTTTTCAATGACAAATGTAAATTTTAATACATTGCTCTGGACCAAATCACATCGTTAATTACTATCAACAAACCAAATCCAACATCACCATCAACATCATTTATATAATCTTTCATCAATCAATCAATCAGTCTCGTCATTACAAAACGATGCAAATACCAATCCCACTACTGCTGCTACTACTACTCCCATTTCGCCTACTGCTTTAACCTTTACAAACGAAAATACTCTAATGCCACAAATTATTCGTCGCGAATCATTATCATCAAGTTTTGGATCGGGTAAGTCGTTACACAGTGCAGAGTACGTTGAAGAGAATAGTTTGAGTGTGTCGAGTTTACCAGCAGCTTGGAAACAGCCTAGTTTTGTGATGTCTGGGTCACCGGTGTGTATCTTTTTTTTTTCTTTGGAAAGATTGATCATCCTTTCTCTTTTTTTTACACATACTGGGGTCGAACTTAACTGTGTACGGTATTTATCATCTTTTATCATTAAACAAAGGAGACATCAGCTATTGGAGGGATTTTATCCATATTGGGATTTAAAGATGACAAAATTAAGCAGCGTATGCGTCGCGACACTATGTATGTCTTTTCTCTGGTTATCTCATATCATTGTCAATTTTTATATTAAATTGAATTTTACATTTTATTCACAGAAAACAAAATAATATTAACAATAATGTATCTGCAAAAAAAAGCGAGGTAATAATTGAATTTTCCGCACGCTGTTTATTGGGTTTGTTAAGTGTTCATTATTATGACCACAACAATAACTTTCGTTATTGCAGGATGAATCCTACGCTGAATTATTAAAAACCAGTGATTCGTTACGGTAAATTTTCGGAATATATATTTTTTATCAACTTTTCCAACGATTTATATTCATTGCACTATCTGTATATAACACGTAGTCCCGGGACAGAAACCAGCGCCTACAATCCATACTTCCTTGACGTTCCAGAATTAAAGATGGGCAAAAAACCCGGTAGAACTCTGCCGACCTTCATGGTAATTAATCTTCCATATAAAAGTTTACGATTTATTTCAATAGTGATTATTCGGTCATCAAGTTATAACATCAAAAAAATATTGCCATAATATAAAAATATAAAGCACTCTTTTCTCCAACAAAAACGTTCACGAGAAGCCGATCTAAAACGCGAACTGAACGCGAAATTCCGACAATTACACCCGGATCTCGATCCGTCTTTGACGTTGACTCAAATTCGTGCTATCAAGGAAAAATTGTTGATTGCTGCAAGATATGAGGTTAGTAATGTTATTATTTCAAAAAGAAAATAATGTAAAGCACTTTTGTGATATTCAATTTTTTCTCTTGTTGATTTCTTAGGATCTTGATCTAGAATTATCTACTGTTGCAAAAGCATACGTGTACTTTGAGAAACTTGTGCTAAAGGTAAGCACGGGAAATTTATACAGTAAATCTTGATATAACGGACGGGGTTAGGCAATTAAAGCAAAAAATATCAAAGATCCAATAAATCCGTTATATCGAGTATGGTTTTATGTAGACTTTCACCTCAATCCGTTATATCAAAATTTTCACTGTTATATTGAGGTCGCTATATATTAGAAAAATTTGGTGGTGGTGGTGATTTTTTTATTATGATTTTTGCTGATTTTGATTCTGGGAAGCTTAGAAACTCGTTGCTAAATATAATCGAAGGTTAACAGCCGGTAAGCATTAATTCTTTTAAAGTGAATTTGTTCGGATAATCGTTCATTTTGCTGATTTGATCATTATAATTTAATAGCAATATGTCTATTATTGGCAAGTAAAGTCAACGAACCAAAAGAGACGTCTCACGCAAGTATACTAGAGGTAATATTTATTGATAAATGAATAATTTCTCTTTACATATCCCTAAAGAAAAAACTTTAATAAATATTCTTCTTAACTATATAATCAAATTCGACCATATAAATCAAAACAAAAAATCAGTCACTACACAAACATCTAGAAGTTTCCGAAAAAGAAATCAAAGAACACGAATTCAGCGTGTTTGCGTCACTACAATTCGAACTTTACGTCCCGCAAAATGAGTTCATGCCGCATTTTCATCGGATATTTGAAACGCTTAGTGATAGTAAATGTCACATTTATATTTTGATAATTATTCGTAATAATAATTCTTTTTTAACTAAAAGAAAAAACCGCCTGATTTTTTATGAATCATGATTTTCTTGTAGAATATAAAAATCTGCAAGATTACCTAGGTAATAATCCGTTTTACGATATATGACAATATTTGGTCGGGAGGTGATCTCATGAAATGGGGATTGAGATTAACTAGTCTCGCCACGTCGTCGCAATATCACGATTTATGTTGATTACAAAAAAAACATTTTCAGCAATATCACGGTTTATGTTGATTACAAAAAAACATTTTCATATAAGAATATTACTTTCACATTATAAATATCGAGATATATATATATATATATGTATATGTATGTTATAAATCATCATCAGCATGATGTCAAATAAATGCCAACGAATAACACTAATCCCAAAATAGTATATACAGATTTTCCGGCCCCAATGATCGTCATCGGCCGATCAAAATCACCAATTATGTAAAAATTTGAACGACCTCAAAAACATTTAACAAAGTTCCGCCCGACGACGATTATCAGTAGTGTTGGTCAAACATTATACCGATACAAAATGACCAAATAACCAAATGACCCGAATCATTCCAATTTGGCCAGATAACCAAGTCATTTGCCAACGAGGATTTATCACTTGGCAAATAAATGGAAGGGCGAAAAGAAGAATGCGAGCAATGTGAAAAAGGGAGAAAAGAATAAAGTACATGTAATAGTCACTAATAAATATTATCTAATCTGTGCCAAACAAAAAATCTGGGAGAAGGGGGACACATCGTGTGATAAAAAAGTCTCCTATATGTATATCATACACGCTGTCGTAGGATTAACACGTTTCAACCCGATTCTGGATCTTGCGGATAAAGGAACTACGTATTTTTTATTGTTATACAAGAAGCACGTTATACGTCTAGCATAATCCAGACCATACATAAATAAGTATCTTTGACTCATACTTCGCGCGGTTATCACTATTGTTATCTGATAAATAGAGAAAAAAATTTCTCTTTATTTTTCATTCTTTCATTCTTTTACTCTTTTATAGCTGATAAAGTAAATTTATCTATTTAGATAAAACAAATACTACTCATACACATACAAATACCACTCATATTCTATAATATTATAACAATGTCTTTTCTTGCGGATTACGAGCCGGCACTCATCCACTCTCCATTCGATCGTTATCAACAACAACAACAACAACAACAACAACAACAGTTAGCACTACTACAACAACAAAAAAATAATGACTTGGGAAGCCAGAATTACTCCGTCGCTTCCACACAAAAACAGATAACACATCGTAATACAGAAGTGCTTTTTAACAATTACAATAACTATAATACACTACCACGAGAATATAACCTGAGTGAAAGATTTGCCAATCTCTTTCGACGACAAACAACAGTTTCCGCAACGACAACGACACCGCCATCGTTTTCAGAAAAGACTGCTGCGGGTATACTATGCGAAAAAAATTCTAGTACGTTTGGGAATAATAGCAATAGCAATAACAATAGCGATAGTGATAGCAATAGCAATAGCAATAATAGTAATAATAATAATAATAATTGGACGTATGAAAACATCAATTATAATCAACCGTGGATGGATCGATTGGTGTCTTTTCTGGCTATTATGCCATGATTGACTTTGGTTGGGGTCAGGGTTATTGTAATCATTATTAATTCGAAAGTCATAGTTGTGTTTGTCATTAGTGAAGGTGTTAATTCATCATTGGTCTTCGAGATATTTATCTTTTCTTCCTTTGGTCGTGGTGAATTGGATAAATCAAAAAGCTTATTACATCGCATCATTGCTTAGAAGTGCATAATAATACATATACACACATATACACACATATAGATCGCTTTATTTTAATTATTTATTATATTAATTAGATGAGTTTCATAAGAACAATGATTTTTTATGTGGCTAATTATCTAGCTATTTCTGTGTACAATTGTTGGCGTCATTTCTCAAATAAAGATTCTTTTTCAAACAGTTCAGGAAATAGATTCAACCAATCAGATCTATTTATTGCAATACCTAATAAGTTGATTATTTGATTGGTTGTTTTATTTAATATCCACATAGTATTTCTAAATATAGAATCATTTTTCGATCTTCAAATTTGCACATATGCATAACGCCACACATACTTAGTGCAACACCAAGAGTTATTCTAGCTGAAATACAATAAATAGTTTAAGGCTTGTAAAAGCAGAGGGTGGGAATTACTAGAATGATTGTTAAAACATTGGCGATTTAGTCACAGAATTCATAACGATAAGAGTTAATAAAACCAAACAAATATTATAACGATAAGAGATAAATAGCAAAACTTTTCCTAAATTTCATACATCAATACAGTCACATTTTTCAGTTCACAACTTATTATGAAACATAAGAAATTTGACCTTCATATAGTCACAACCTCTTTATATTCACAATTTTCATATCCCGAGGTGTAAGTATAGGGAGGTCAGATTGTATTTTATATCTATTATCAATATATACCAAATTTAAATTTCATCAAAGATGATACTGCTGCTTGATATTATTGTTGTTCCTAATGGTAAAGTTTAGTTGGATAATAGTGATAACGTTTGTTATTATGATGAAAATTTTTATTATTGGTAATTGCTCAATTATTATTGAATTGTTATTGTTATTGAAAACCTGAATCCAAAATTTTGTTTAGATTAATTTAAAAATATATATTGATTGGATTTTGAATTAATTAAAGATATTTATAATATTTAAAGGAATTTTTAATAATTTAAAAATAATATAAAATATTATTAATACTTATAACTTTTAGATTGAAATAAAAAAACATTACTAAAAATATTAGATTGATAATATAACAAAATAAAAATTGGTAACAAGTGTTTTAAATAATTAAAAAGTGTCCTCAAACTCTCAATATCAAAATATATTAAATCAATTCCAAAAATAAATTTATAAATTATAATAATTTCTTTATTAAAAATATAATTTATAAAATATCATTACAAATATATATTAGATAAATTTATGTTAATAACAAAAACTTAATAATATTTATAAAAAATGTGCTTAAACAATATTAAAAAATTTAAATTATAAAAAATATGTTAAATATGTTTTTATGAATTGAACCAAATCAAATTTTCATTTGAATTTGGTTCAAAAATCAAATTGAACTTGAATTAGACTTTGACTTGAATTTGAAAAAGATTCAATATTTGAACTGAATTTAAACTAAACTTTTTGATAAGTTTAAATTGAACTTGAATTAGACTTTGATTTAAATTCAAAAAAGATTTGATATTTAAACTGAATTTGAATCAGATTTTTTAATAAGTTCAAAAAGTTCAAGTATTAGCCAGATTCTTTAAAGAATTTGTAAAAAATCAAAGTTTGAATTAAATTTTGAATAAGTTCAAAAAAAATATACTAAAAACAAATCAATTTAAATAAAACTTTATAACAAATTCAAAAATTAAGTTGTAATAATTTATATAAATATAATATATTATTATTATTTTATATAATATTTAGTTTTGTCATGAAAAAAATATATGAATAACATGTAAGACTAAGTTAAATGAGAGAGTTTTATAAATTAAATAGAAAAGAATACTAATTTACTAAGATAAATAATATATATTTATTTTGTAATCAAATAGAATAAGATCAAAAATAATTATGTTTTTTTGAATTTGATTTATAAACAAGTAGAATATTATTTGTTTATTTATTAATTTAATTATATAATAATAATTTTGTAATTAAAATAAAAAATTAATATTGTTATTATTTCTAGTTTTTAAGTATAAGAATATTTAGAAATAACAGATTTTAAATAAATGATAATAATTATCAGAAAATTTTTGAGGATGCAGATTTGTACAAATCTTTAGATTCAAAGATTTATACAAATCTTTGAACCTAATAGTGATCTGTAATGAAAAATATATGTGATTCAGTACAGATCTGTGAGATTATGTATATTTATATTGAATACATATTTTTTTACAAAGTTTGCATAACAAATATTTCAAATAATAATATATAATATAATTTATATTTTAAAAAATTAAAGAATAACAAAGAAGTTTATTATAAATTATAAATTATAATAATAATAAAATATAATAATAATAAAGTACATAATTTTAAAATATATATGTACAATTTAATTTGGTAATCTTTAAAGAAAAAAATTAGTTTTTACAATATTATAAAAAAAAATATAAAAACTTACAAATTATTATAATTATTATTACTATTTTTATTTTCAATTATAATAACATTTTCTTCTTCTTTAACAACTTCTTTTCTCAATTTTTAACATCTTTTTTGAGCTGTTTTTTGTTTTTTTTGAAGCTTTTTGTTTATTATTATTGTGATTAAATATTTTTATAATTAATAAATAATCATTATATATGATTACTTTAAGTAATTATTCCAAGTAATCATCTAAAACATTCTGAATAACCATTTTAAATGCTCTATATGATTATTTCAAATAATTATTTTATAATTATCAAATAATTATAAATAAAGTATATATTGTTACCATTTTATATGAGTCCTTGGGAAAGCTGGTGAGTGATTAATAATATTATAATAAGTTACTTGACCAGGGTAATTATAGTAAAGTTTATTAAGAATGACAGGTGGGAGAGTATAATATAATCA